GTGTGTGTGTGTGTGTGTGTGTGTGTGTGTGTGTGTGTGTGTCGAATAGAAGAGATGTTGAATTCTTTATATTTTCAGTTTAATTTATGAAGCCCTCTGTGTGGGAATGAACCCTAACATTCAGTTGTTTCAAAACACAGGTCAAAGGCTCTTCCATAAAATTGCTTTGCCTGCTCCATTTTCAGTTCTTATCTAAAAGCTGTATAAATCTTAATCTGAGCTGATATAAAAGTCAATCTCTCTTTGCAACTTCAGAATAAAACACAACAAAAGAGCTGCAACTTCCTCCAAAACACAACCTAATGACAGACAAAAGCACATGTTGAGGGCCACCCTTTGCCTGCATTGTGTCCAACACACATGCACACACACACAGAGCAGTGGGGGTGCAGTGGGGGTGGACCTCTGTCATCAAAGTGAGCTGTTGTTTGGGAGGAAGGGGAGTCTGCGTGTGTGGAAGAAAGTGGATATGAATGGTGTGGAAAGGTTCAGGCAGTTCATTTGTGAGTGAGGGGCTCGGCCACTCAGACTGTCGCTCAGTGTGGGGTTCAAGGTTAGAATGACAAATGGGGGGGGGGGCAGCAGGGGTCCACATCAGTGGAAGTGAATTAAAAAGATTGAAAATGAAAAGCTTTAATTTAGTTACTTGGTGGAAAGTTATGAATTAAACTAATATAGACTATCCTGTATTTTATAACATTTTTTAAATCTTGGCAACATTTGACTTCTGACTTGTCACACAGAACTAGTCAACCGTGAACTGCACTTAGATAGAAGTCTGAAATAAAAAAAATACAGACTCTTTTACTAAGATCCTTTATTTTATTTTATTTTAGCCTTTGTAATTATTTTCACTCTATTTTAGCCTTTGTGGCTGCTTTTGACACCACACATCACAAAACTAGTCAACAGTGAGTTTCTTGCAAAGCCATCGCTGAGGTTAAACAAAAATTTTTTTTATTCATAATAGTTTTCATTACACATAAACCATTCACCCAGCAACAGCCGCATTTACCTGCTGTCTGAAAAATGACAAGAATATTCATATGTTTTCAAAATAATGAACTAGTGCAATAAAATTACAATACCACATAATAAACTCATAAAAAGACACTTTTACTCTAGGTGGGGTTTTAATGAGACACGTTGTAAATGTAAAAACTACATGTGCACTTTTGTAATTTTGTGTCTTCTCAACAGGGAAGTCGACAAAGGGCACAACTTCTTTTGGTGTTGGGAAAGTACAAACATTAACTTAATGTGAGTAGGAAAGCACACACACACACACACACACACACACACACACACAGATGGATGTGACTGCTTGCTTCACGTGAGAGCAGTTATTTTACACGTCTGCTGAGCAGACCACACACACTCTCTCTCTCACACATCCACACCCACACACTCTCTCTCTCTCTCTGTGTGTCTCTCAGACAATCAATGAAGCATTCCCTGTGGTTGGAATGTGTTTTTGAGGGAGAGTGTGAAGAGGAAGTTTTTGTCAAGGAAAGCTTGAGAGGAAGGGTTAACAAAACATTTTACAAATGTCTGTATACGTGCACATAGATGGAGCCTTCTTGTGTTTTCTTGAACAAATGTAAATATATGTTTATTCATGTGAGTGTCAGACAGTTGTTCAACCAACAGGAGAATGTGATTTGTGTTTAAAAGTGAGATTTAAATGAATGCAAATGTACCATCTTTATCTCCAAGTTATATTTAGCAAAATTGTGTCAACAAGAAAAGTGTCTGTCTGTGTCTTCTGTCTCCTTCTCATTGAGGCTCCAGAAGCTAAAGAAAAGTATTGTAGACAACGTCTGAGGGTTTTTGGCGTCGGACCCCTGTCTGCCAAAACCCTCACCCC